CTCCGTGGGACCACAGAAAGGGCAACAGACGCTTCTGGAGGCACTCGGTGCGGTAAATTTCGCTGTTGATGGCACCCATTGTGATGTACGGTTTACTCAGTTTACCGCATTGGCATATGGCCTGCCAGAGCAAGTATTTTTTGGCGAATTTGTCCACTTTCTTCTTCCTTATGTCTTCCGGAACATCAAACCGTGATTTGGCAACGTAGAACGGTATCTGCTTTGCGTCTGCCTTGATGTAGGTTTCGTCATCGATAACCACACTGATCGGTTTCGTTAACCACTCTCGATACAGCTTCCTTGCACGGGATTTGGCCGCCGTGTTTTGTTGATCACGCCGGTTCGGTGCCTTCCGGACCTTGAATACACGAAACCCAGCTCGTTTCATGGTTTGCTGAACGAACCAGGCGAAACACTTTGCCTTCAGAGCCGCGTCGCGAATCGAAAGGTTCGGATTACGCTTGAAATATTCCAACACCTTCCGGGCCTTCACAGGGTCAGCTGTCTTCGATTTTCTTCCACTTCCAGCCCGCCGCTCGGTCGTCTGGGACTCCTTAAACGATTTTACCACCCGCGACACAGTTGTATGGGTGATTCCCAGTTGTCTTCCGATCCATCTCATGGTCGCAGTCGGATTTTTCATGACGGCGCGCAAAATTCTCCGGCGATTTTCTTCTTGTTTCGATGACATCTCAATAACCACTAAACCGATTGTAATGAAATTTTGCACATGTAAACAATTCACTCCAAACTAGTTATACCCAGATTTTCATCAATTTTTACCCACGGATAAAAAAGTTACACACGGATAAAAATGGTGCATTTTTTTCGAATACAAGCCTTAATTCATTTCTGACAAAAATCTACATGAGACTGTTATGCTATTATGGACCTGAAACAATTTGCAACAAATGCTTGCTATACTACACCCAACCGGAGGATGTAAGATTCGTTTATGTGGGATTCATCATCGGACGATGTTAGTGGAGACCGCATGAACCGAGGATGCGATATACCGAGCTGCGGTCCAAGGCAAGAAAATGGAGAAAGAAAAATGCATTAGTGAGTGATATTAATCATGTCGAAAAAAAAAGGTTGCCGACTGGGGGACTCGAACCACGAACGTGGCGATTATCTGACCTGTGCTTTCTCCACTGCTCTCTCCATGCTGCGGGATATGGATAGGCCTAAAGCAAACATGTGCTTCGTTCTACCATGTTATACATAAAAATCAAGGCAAATGCTTGCTTGTGTAGGTGAAAGCATATACAGAACACAGAATAAAACAAGATTAAAAATCATTGCATCGTCTGCAAGGTCAACTTCTAACATTCGCTGCGATGTTCATGAACAGAGCATGTTAGGAAATGGAACTAAGCTATAATAACATAAACATTATGATATCAGAAGTTGAAGAGCATTCTAAGCAGCTTCTGGGAGAACTTGAACAGTACCTTTAGCAAATAAGTTAAAAAGGGTTTTTGTTCTCTACACCAATTTTATATTTAGTTCGCACTTTTATGAAAGTTAATTCTAAAGTCAGGTCTGTCTGAATTTCTCTTTAATCGTATTTTTTATGTTTGGATAGAATATTGATATGAGAATAATGATTTATTTGAGCCACTGATTATTTCATATTTACGTTCTTGAAATTTTGTTACTAATATGACTTGTGAGGATTGTTTCATGTGAGCTTTGACGGACCTTTTTAGAAACATTCAAGTCGCTAAGAAGTTCCGCAGGGAACTTTTAAGAAACTTGTTCGGAACTTTGTTGAAGCCATGTTTTCAGCCTTGCCTGAAGTTCATAAGAAGTGCTTGGGGATGCTTTTTCGAACTTTTCTTGAGCTTTAAGTTGCTAAGAGTACGCATCAGAACTTTTTAGAGCCTGAAGTTCCTCGTGTGCTTTCTATAGCTTCTAAAGCAGCCAGAAAATTATGTTGGAACTTTGTATGTACTTTATACACACTTAGTTTTTTCTACACAGCCTGGCTGTGCAAATCTCGGCAAAAAAAGTTTCACTGAGATCTCAGCAAACATTTCATTAGTTTGCTGAGATTCAGCTAAGCAATATCTGAGACTCATGTAAACTTTAAATACATTCTGCAATCTCCAGCGCAGTTTTATGAACTTCAACCCAGATTTCCGAACTTTAGGAAAGTTCATCCGAAAAGTTTTACAATCATCAGGAATAATAGACAAACGTCAATGAAGTTTTGCGAACTCCAAAGAAGCTTATAGTGAACTTCAAAAAGGTTCTGAGAATTTTCGGGAGTTGCTTCAAAGTTTGGGAAGATTTTTGAATTTCGTTTATGAACCTGAGCGAAATTCTTAATTTTAGAAAAGTTCTGGAAACCACAGGAATAGTTTTCGAACTTCTGGTTATTTTTACGAACTTCAAACAAATTCTGCAAACTTGAGAGATCTTTTGCGAGGACTGTATCGAAAATAAGTTATAAACAAACAAAATTTATAATAAAACCAAAATCCTCGATTATCTGTGAGGTGGCCTTTTTTGAAACTTAACATATTCTTTAAGAGACTGGTATCATGTTAGATTTTATTCCTCTTATAAGGTTTCGGGCAGTGCATTTTTGTGTTTTTTAACGCATCGTTACAGTATATTTTTGACTACTTTAAAGATTTAAAACTATTTTTGAAGATGCTCTCTACAATTGCCATTCATCATCAGCAATCGGCATTCAATAGGTTGTAGTTGCAAACAAGTTGAATTAGGTCACTCTCCGTGAAAATCAAAATTTTTCAGTTTTTTTTTTCAGTGAGAATGACGTTCAGAATTGATTTCAAATTAGGCCGAAACAATTGCAAATTGTTGTGTTTTATTCATAGCTTTTACCATGGATGTTAAAGCCACTTATATCACGATGATTATTTACAGCAAAGTTCTACAAAAATAAGAAAAAAAAGTTCAAATGTCAAGAAAGTTTTGCGAACTTTATAAACCTTCTGCGAACCGCTGGGAAAATTTGGTAAAATAAGGAAAGTATTGTGAAAATAAAGAAATATCTGCGAATTTCATGAAAAAAATCCAAATACAGAGACGTTATGCGAACTTCAAAGTAGTTCTAAGAACACCAGGAAACTTTGAAGAACTTATCCGAAGTTCTACGAAATTCTGGAAAAATGTATGCACAGGGATTTGAATTTGAATGCAGCTTCTATGAACTGTCTCGTCGGATCGTCGGTGGAATCCCATCAAACTATCATCTACCGAAGAAACGACTGCTTGACGATTTTATTCTACTGCATGCTTAATAATACTTGTACTATTTGTAATAATAACTTCTATTCAGGATTTGTTCACACAAATCTGGAGAAATTATTCAACCATAACACTGAACTACTTGATGTTGTATAAGTTATGTCAAGAAGCTTTTATTCGACTTACAAGAGTTATAACAGAGCTTATTCGATCAAACGTTTGATTATTCAGCGTTTATTAGATATCATTGCTTCCTTAAACAACAATGCTGCAGTAATACGCTTGATTATCATGCGAAGTAACGTTTTATTAGACACTATTATACATTTATTAAATGATTATTCAACAGCGGGAAAATTAACCCGAAAATAAGAACGGGAGACAGAGTTGTTTCTCTTTAATGATTTTTGTTTGAATTATTTCTGGCGAAAGCCGCACCACACGGAATGTATTAGTATTTCGAATCATGTATCACCAGCAGCTTGCCTTGCCATCTGAGCTATCCTAGAGTACATAATATGGGCAGCTTAATAATAAATAAAAGCTTGCTTGAAACTGATCTATCAGCAACTCTAGCTCCTTCAAGGTCCTGTAATTCATTCATCGTTGCTTGACACCAATGTTACCTCTTCACCTCTCCTATTTCGAAGGAAATGATGCTGGGTTATTTTTTAAACTAGATCAATGAATTCGTTGTGAGTGATGTGATACTGTAATACAGCATTTATTCAATATATATATATATATATATATATATGCCTTTTTGTGAATCTGAATTGTTTGTTGATAAGATGTCAGAAAAAGGTGTTGCGATATCTCTTTCAATTTTTCACTACATGAGATTTCGCCTCCTAAAAAATATCCCGAGTACGACTCTGATACTACCATCACATCTCTCGTAAGTAGCTTGTACATAAAGTGTTAGAAATTCATGCTTACATTTTATACATTCACTGTTTATTTTGCGTGTACGCCTAACCATTACATTTCATGATATAAATGATATCGTAAACAATCTTATCATTACAAATTGCAATCCCGAACAATTATCGAAAGGCATTATCAATGCTGATAGAATCAATCCGAACCCCATTCTATAATGTGTACCTACTTATGGATCACACTCCAATAAACACCACCATTCCATTTTCCACCCTACCCCAATAACAAGTCCATAGCGCCCTCATCGGCAAACTCTCCCCCACCCATGCTCACTTCAAATTCACTCAACGGAATCCCAACGTGACTATAGTTGAGCCTTTCCCCTTATCCCTGCAGATTTACAACGTCGTAAGCATTGAGAAGAACCCGAAGAACCAGGACCGTCGTCGCAGATTCTTTTGATGAATGACTTGAATGCCCCCTCCAAGGCGAACCCCGATTAGCATTCAAGAGTGGGTCTGGGTACACATCAAAACGAAATTTTGCTCACCACCCAATTGGTCGAAATTAGATTGCGCTTCCGAAGGAAAACAAACGCAGACACACACGTTCCTTTGCCTCCTCTGCACTTTACACTCTACCGAAGCAGTTGTAGCGAGTCGTATAGAGCTAGGAATGAAGAGGGAGTACGACCCCTGCTTTTTATGCTGCATTATGTGAATGAGCAGGAAAGGGATATACAACGAGAACGTGATGAACGGGAAAGAGATGGAATGAACTGTGCGAGAGAGTGTAAATTTACGAACAGCAATCCTCCAGGGAGTCCTGGGTGCTGATCCTTTTATATTACATTGAGTGAGAGTTGAACAGGAGTTAGTTGGTGTTTGATAGCGGCAGTGATTAGATCGGAGCAGATGAGTTTAGGCTCGTGTCAGTACGAAACACAGTGGATTAACATCCAAGGATTATGCAGATTGCAAAGTGACTCAAATAGAACCTTGTGTGCAAAATGTCCTCCTACTGTGGATTCGATGAAACATCATTTGACGACTTTGCGGACTACACATCTGAGGACAGTGGTTTTGAAAAGAGCTTAGAATCTAACGGTGAACTGTCGTTCAGTTATGCTCCGAGGAAGCTGGATTTTGAAGTTGTAGTGCCATGTGTTACGACACAGGTTCCTCGAAAACGTGGACGAAAGTCACTGAAGGAGAAGAGCTTGGAGCAGTTATCTTCAGAGTTCAGTCCCAGCTTGGGAGTGCAAACCTCAACACCAACCAAACCTACCCCTGCCACCGCCGCAGATGGAGAATCCAAACCTAAACGAAAATATGCCATGGGCAAGAGTCGAATAACCAGAAATCGAAGTCCCACTCAAGTGGTCAAAATCAAGCGCTTCCGACGGATGAAAGCAAACGATCGAGAGAGGAATCGAATGCACAACCTCAACGAAGCTCTCGAAAGGTTACGGCTCACACTCCCGACATTTCCCGAGGATACAAAACTGACCAAGATAGAGACGCTAAGATTTGCATATAATTATATATTTTCACTGGTTCAAGTACTTGAACTAAACGAAGAAATCCACCTGGATCTGGAAAAACTTCAAAGCTTGACGCTGAGTGGCGAAAGAATCAACAAAGATTTATTTGACGCCATGTTCATCAATCCTCCGCCACACTTCATGGAGTCCGGTTTCGGTTGCAGTGAGTTCTACAGCAGTATGCAACAGTATGGAATAACGATGAGTCATCCGCAGAACTACGATCATCCGAATTTTTCGAGACAAAATTACCAAATGTTACGAGGTGCCTTCGACGCAGCCTATAATGGTCCTAAACAGCCTTACCTCAATCAGACATATCCTCCACCGACGGGTTATCAGCAGCCTCAAACCATGTTGAATTCAGGATACTACCAGCAGTCGACAACCAGCCCGGCCGATATGAATGGTTCCTCGTACCCGGCGGGGCATTCAACACATCAATCACCTCACCAGCAAGGCATGCACTACGGGAGCAGTTTCTACAGCCAGACACCTCCCTGGACCGAAACTTCAGGCTACAATGAACCGATGGGATTACAAGGAGATACCTGCAGGAAACTTTGCGAAAACTTCCCCGTTCCGTTGTAGTATAAGCTGTTGCGGTTTGAAATCCTTTGAAATTTTTGACGCAAGGTTAACAAGTTGTAAGTGCACAATGTAAACTCTGGTGATAAATTATCAAGTATTTGAACTAGTGAAATTTAAGTTCGATTTAAGTAATGATGAAGAAAGAGACAAACAAAGTGACTATGTTTTGCAAGTTTGATTAGGTTAAATCGAAAGTGGAAAACGTTACAATTTGTTCAATACTACACGCACCCCACAATTATGGATCAGTTAATAAGGGTTATGGATCAGTGCGTCTAGAGTGTTTATTAAAAGGAAAATATTCATAATTTAAGGTGATCCATAACTGTGGGGTCCCTTTATATAAACAAAGTTGACCATTTGGAAATTAGAATACTGTTTCCATGTGATAAATGTAGAAGAAGTTTAAAATTTCCAAGCACCTCTGTTAATTAACAGATCTGCTTGAAAATTTTGCAATGTGCCATATTAGAATAAGAAAGCTAGAAAAACAATAATGGTCTGATGTAAACTGCTAGTCACACTAGACAAATTCATATTCGTGTATAAATTAAATGACATTTCAAAATTGACACTTTGTCCAAAAGTCTCGATTTTGAAATTTCACATTCGAGGCTAGTTCGATAAGATCATTCGTCTGATTGTCTTAAATACTCGCTGAGAATAGTCTTTGATGCCTTTTTCAAATTGTCTTAAGACCACTATGAAAAAAATACATTAACTATTTTTGCACAGAAGATTATATTTTGTACCACTTTTCATCGTCAAATTAAATATCAATTAAGCAGCATTTACATGACGATCATTTTCTCCCGAAATCGCCCTTTAATTGTTGGTCGACGCTCCGACATATCCGTACTAATCGCAATCCGTTCCGGTAGAATTGGTTCTGTCCAATCATCCAAACATCCAACGTTCATCGCCGCTGAACATCAGTAAAGCGAAAGCAAATGTTTATAAGAGTAAACAAATGAAACTACAATCTCTCAACTTTTAAAACCCACCGAAGCACCACTTTTGAAGGACCCCAAAACAAGCGTAATCGGCGAATCAAAAATTCATTGGATTTTATCTGTTTACACTAGATTGAAGAGTAGCACAGAAAAAAAAACTACTGTTTCAATTCGATCCGTCTGTCCTGAGGGTTGGTGGCAGTGTTGCCAAACTCCATTTTTGAATTTTGCTTATGTAGTTCATCTTAAAATTATTTCTCGAATTAATTAATCTTAGACTTGGAAAAAAGGGGATATTTCCATCTAAAATCACAACTTACAGTCTGACACCACTGCTCCATTTGTACCGGTCGTTCTTTGTCCTTTTAAACTACCCCCGTTCCGTTCCCGCTTTCATAGTCGAACCTTAACTACACGTCACAACAACAATGTACCATACAAACTAACAGACGAACAGACCCCGCTGCATCCAGTCCGCATGATTCCAATTCATCACAATTACAGGAGCAAACAAACAGGACGCTACTGCTGGTAGGTACGAAGTGGCAACGACGACGACCGGTGCGGTGTGGTGCATTTAAACTAACAACGCACGCGCTCGCGCGAATGGAAAGAAAATCACAACCCTCCTGAATCACGATGGAACAATCCACCCGTCGCGACGCGTCGTTCCTACATCCAAACGGAGATCCGCATCGGTTGGTCTGATTATGCGAATAATCCGTCGGTTGACACCTCAGGGGTTCGCTGGAAGGGAACGAAAACGAGACAAAAAAAAAACCCTAATGCATCAAGCAAAACGGTACAAAGGAGAAGTTGGAAAAGCCGGCCGGATCAGAATGGCATTATGTTTCCTAATGGGCAGCTAGGACTATTATGTTTGCTGGAGTTATTGTTCGTTTGATATGGCGATTGGGTGCAAAATGTGCGCTTGGTGATGTATTCCACGAGTGCTACGAGCTTCACTTAGGGCTAGTTTAATTGCTTGAATCTTTTCTTGTTATGTTTACATTGAATTATCAAAAAATCTTGAACATCTCAGAACATTTACTGGTATTAAGCGCCGCACAATGCATCCGGATCTTATCCGTTATGGCAAATATTATAGTTGAACAATAGATTTAGCTGCCACTTTGCCGTAATGGATCAGATCTGGATGCATTATGCGTGTGCGTCAATTATCACAATGGCTGTATTTATGTTAATAATATAATAATTTCCATATAAGTTCACTACCTAATTTGCATATCCTTGACAGATACGCGTATTACGCCTAAAATGGGCAGACTTCTTCAGTGTCTTCTATTAATACTCGACTCGAGATATGCTAATAAGGTAGTGAAATTAAATGGTAGTTGCTAATCCTTCTCTCTTTCTTTATACAGATATTCTACTAAGACGCCCACAATCATCAGGTTTTACGTTATTAATTTAAAACAAATCTCAACTTTACAGATGCAGTCAGTAACTTGAAAACAATTCTTTTAATGATAATAATCAAGTAAAAATTATTCAATGGTTAACTTAAACCCAGTTTCTATCAAGACAGAAAAAAAAAATCTGTTAGAAATTTGTTGTGAAGTTGACAATAATAACATTTAACTAGTTTTTAATTTGTTTTCAGATTATAAAGCACATTTTTCACATAGGGATGCCAATAGCATTAATGACGTACGAAACGTGACTGCATTAGTGGGTCTTCAGGCTTTAGGGTGAGTTTCATTCCCAGTTGAGGTCGTTGAAATAATATTCTGGAATATTGAAATCTATTTAACACATTGAAGAAATATGTGCTGAAAGTCCTCTGAACGCATTCTTCCGAATTTTGACATTGGATCTGACATTCTTGCAAGCTTTATATAGGTTTTATAGAATTCTACAATTCATGGCCTACAGAACCCCCATAAAGCAAAATTGTTAGTTGAGCTCTGTAATTCTCGCAGTGTTTTTACTCAGCTGTCGACAGAAGCAGGCCACTCTCCATGTGTGTCACGCGATCGTCTGTTTACTCGGCAGCAACCATTGTGTGGTCCTCCTCATTGTTCTTCATCAGCAGTTCTTTGTTGTCGATGCATCGTCGACTTTGGAAAGCAATCGTTTCGTGATGAGTGTGTGAGTGCTAACCACGTTTTGCGTGCATTGCTGCAATGGTAGCACTCTGCCCCCCGTTGACGATTCTGCCATATAATGAAACCACTGGAAGCGGCTCCCGTTCTGATGGACGAGGCTTATTGGTTAGCGGACGATAACGTGTTTATTATGTTGTACCTTTTGACTATAGTTTTACGATGTTTTGTATAGTGAACAAAAATCCTCGGCCCTGTAAAGTTAATTCGATTGAGCCTTATCAAATAAATTAATAAACTCTGTAATTCTTGCTCTTGAAGTTGTCCAAAATATCTTTACATTATCCTGGAACTTTCCCGAGACCTCGAAAAGACTTTTTCTTTTTTTAACTAGTTCGTTTATTTGGGGGGGGGGCTCAATCGCGTTAGCTTTACGGAGCCGATAGTTCATTGTTCTTTGTTTGTAACAAAATTCACTTAATTCTATGTCTAGTAGGAGTTGGGCCGAATACTCGCGGCTTACTCGAGGTTAGAGAGGTACATTGTCGAAGGATAGGATCAGGGGAGGAGTTTGGGGGTAAGGTTTCGTTGTCTCATCAGAGCGTTGTCGTCAGTATGAATGGTAGTGCGGTTCTAGTTACGCCTGGAGTTCGACCGGCTATGGTGACCAGTGGGCGACGATGAGACTCATCGAGACGGGGGGACAAGACAAACAAAAACTATTAAAGAGAGACAAAAGACAAAGGAATTAAATTCTTATACACTGGAGTCGCTTTTTACGCGGGTGATACGTCCCGCGTAAAAAAAAACCGCGTAAAAAAAAACCGCGTAAAAAAAAACCGCGTAATTCCGGAATCCGCGTAAAAAAAACCGCGTAAATTCCGAAATCCGCGTAAAAAAAAACCGAGTAAAAAAAAACCGTGTAAGAAAAAACCGCGTAAAAAGCGATATACCGCGTAAATTCTGAAATCCGCGTAAAAAAAACCAAAATCCGCGTAAAAAAAAACCGCGTAAATTCCGGAGTCCGCGTAAAAAAAAACCGCGTAAATTCCGAAATCCGCGTAAAAAAAAACCGCGTAAAAAAAAACCGTGTAAAAAAAAACCGCGTAAAAAGCGACTCCAGTGTACTAGACATTTGCAGAACACATAAACACATAAACCGACTGCATATACCAGATATCGCGAGTTCCCAACACGTCTCTGATAGGAACATAGGGTTGTCTTCCTTGGGCCTCAAGGGTATTCAAAAGTGGCTCTCTGGCGGCGTCATTATCCGTACATTGCCAAACTGCGTGATCGATGTCATCGTAACCGTTTCCACACCGACAGATGTTGCTGTCTACGAGGTTTATTCTATTGAGATGAGCATCTAGCGAGTAGTGGTTGGACATAAGTCTACTCATCACGCGAATGAAGTCACGACTTAAGTCCAAGCCTTTAAACCACGCTCTCGAAGAAACATTAGGAATAATTGAATGTAACCACCGTCCAAGATTTCCATTGTCCCAATCGGTTTGCCAACTCGAAAGGGTACTCTGACGCACTAAATGGTAAAATTCATCGTGTGAAATTTGTCTTTCATAAAATTCGCCTTCCTGCGCGCCCACCTTTGCGAGAGAGTCCGCCTTCTCATTGCCTGGGATTGAGCAATGTGAGGGGACCCATACAAAGGTAATCATATATGATCTTTCGACCAGTACACTCATCTGCTCCCTTACCTTTGAAAGGAAATAAGATGAGTGCCTACTTGGTTTCATCGACCGAATAGCCTCAATCGAACTGAGACTATCCGAGAAGATGAAGTAATGGTCTGCGAGCATCTTGGAAATCATCCCCAATGCGAAGTTGATTGCTGCCAGCTCAGCAACAAAAACGGAACAAGGTTCCTGGAGTTTGCGGAAGGCGCTAGAGTTTTCATTGAAGACACCGAAGCCAGTGGATCCACTGAGACGAGACCCGTCTGTAAAATATCTGTTTACGCAATTGACGTGTTGGTACTTTTCAGTAAAAATACGCGGGATAGTAATAGTTCGAAGTTGATCTGGAATCCCGTTAATCACTTGTTTCATGGACAGATCATATTCAATTGAGGTACTGCGATTGGTG